TTCAAAACACTGGTCAATTCAGAATTAATTTTTAACTTCGGAGTGTTTTTGCGCGGTTTTCGATTTTTTCATCCTGCACTTCTAGACACGATTTCTGAGCAAAGCAAGACATTCTCGGTAAAACGAACAAATTCATAACTTCGATGGCGAAATGGATGGAAACTGGAAACATTCCCAAAATGATCACCGACTTATTGCTGGATATTTACACGTTTTGATTAAATATATCTTATTACTTCTTTTCTATTCTTTAGGCTCGTTCTGATTCAATCTGTGAAAAAGTTTCCTTTTTATGCGCCTTTCAACCAAATTGTTATAATTTTGCGAAAAGGGGGTTTAGATTCGAACCTTTCCTCAAGCAGATTTGTAGAACTGTCCAACAGTGCGTTTGTAGTTTTGACTTTTTCGAAGTAAGTTTGAAATTAATTTGGCCGGGAATTGATAAAGTTCCTATTTGCTCTTAGGCGAATTTTGTTGAACAATATCTGCACTATGCGGGAAAAAAGTTTCGAATGTATTTCTTTGTCGGCCAAATTTGTACAATTTTTAACTCGGGGTTTAGATTTTCAAGTTGCTTATACAAGCCACAGTCCGCAGTTTCCTAAGTCAGAAATCAGTGAAGCTGGCTACTTAGTTTTGAACATATGTTGTAGAGCAAAGTTTTCGTTGCCTGGAAGAAAAGTTTTGGTTTGATTTGAAAAGATTTGAACAATTTTTAGAGATGCGGCAGGTTTTCAAGTTATTAGTTTTTGTACTGGGCATTTATTTCCGCTGAAAGTAGCAAAGCTACCAAGTTTTCTTGGTCTGCACCTTATAGAACGAACCGCGTTTTATAAGTTGGGTAAGTTTCGATTTTACGTCATCATCAGTAAATCCAGTAGAATTTTTTCAAGTTGAGCTGTTCCGCAGTGAAATCGTCAACATACAATTTTCGAGTGCCGCTCTACTTGAGATCGGTGGCTAATTAATGGCAGTTAATCCGTCCACCAATTAATACTTTAATCGCAGGCAGTTGGGGCGAAATGAGGTCTTTGGAATGGATGCCACTTCCTGCTCTTGCTTCACTCTGCTCTTCTTCTCTTGCTCTCATTTACCGCTTCTGACTCAAACAGGAATGACTCCAAGCGCCCTCACATATTTTTAACTCACTTGATTGACCTGAAACCTGTAACTGTCCATTTGGACTCTAACAGTTCGTGTAGATTGCCGCTTTTTTAGCTCTCTCAAGAAAAATCTAAATTAGACTGTGCTTACGACATTCAGCGGCTTGAAACGACCTTCCTTCGCTTAACATGTGTATCATTATCCACCATGAATAAGCCAGATTAAATTTTCCTCCATGTATGCCGAAGTGCAGACCATATTATATATCGCGCGTTGTATATATTACGCGGTAGTAGTAGATGGTGTTGTATTACATAATAATTAACTGCCAATTGTTGAGATTGCGAAGCAATTTTCCCTTTTGTTTGTGGACTCATTACGCCTCAGTGTCCAGTTCTTTGTTACGGTAGTAAATATGTTCGATTCCTTTCGGGTGAGTTTCCTCATAGTCCAATAGAACGAAACTGCCTCTCTTTGTCACTTTTTCAATTGTAAAAAGACTAGTTTATGCGCTCAAATATCTTCAGCGAAAGTATTGTTATACGGCCACTTTGTTGTGTCACTCGACTTTAAAGCCCCCAATAAAACTAATTGCTTTACTCAAGAGAGCACACATTAAACGCAGTAAACCGCTGTAATTAAACATTTATTGTTCCATGCAATCCTTGCCGCCAGCTAGTTGGTTTTATGCTAACAAGCTTCAATTAAAATCCATTTCACTTGTTCCTCTGGAAGCTCCATAAGAAGCGCGAAAGTTTAGAGAGGAGAGTGGTCTTAAAATGGCCCTTTGATGTGGCACATCGTGCTAAAAGCCCTGAAGTTATGGCTGAGGGAAAGTGAACAGCTCGAGTTGAGGGCATTTTCAGTCAGGTTGAACTTTTCCAAATGTGTGTTTTGGTTTAGGACTGGACGTTTCGACTGCAACTGTGGCAGACATTATCAAAGGCTATGATCAAGCGGTCGCAGTGATTGACTTTTTTCAGTAGACGAAAGAGTTAAAAATATCCGAACCCTCTTAATTGCTCATCCCGAAAACTATATTTCACAGATTAAGTGGCGTCAGAAAACCCTAACCTCTAAAGAAATAGGAGCAAAAACTTTCACTTTTTGACGTCTCAAGCCTAAAACACCCCATATTTTCAAAAGAGTGTGAAATTGTCCCAATGAAATTGAATCCAATTAGTCGTTCGAATAAGATTTTTCAAAAACTTTCAAGCTCCCATAATCGAAACAAATTCACAACAGTCTGGTTTTTTCAATTCAGCGTTTTTAAATATCGCAATTTGTAGAAGTTTCTGGAAGTTCCAGCTACCCGCAAGCTGAAACGACCAAAATGAAACTATTTTTGAAAAGTCTGTAGGTTCCAAGTCTGGGTATAGTCCGTCCCCAGATTTTTGGTAGTGACACAATAAATGTCGCTTGTCCACCGAGCAGGGGCGGAAATTTGACGTTATTAGCGCATGTCGATCTTCAAACTTTTTTTTTGTTTTTTCCTCCAAGAAACTTTTAATTGGACAAAAACTTCTGTAAAATAAAAAAAGCATTTTCAAATTACCGCGAAGAAACCCAGAAGGGAATTTGCCAACATGAGCCAATTTCAAAATGGCGTCCCAAATAATGACGTCACGTCCAAATAGATCGGCACAGGCTGTTATCGATTGCACAACGCAAATCGATCAATATTAACCGTGGATCCTCAACTTAATTGCAAATTCCCGATTGGTACCGATTTGGAATGTTGTTATCGAATACCGTTTACCGGTTACATAACCTCAACAGCCACATTAAGTATGGACGGCGCGCGTTTAATTGCGACGCCTACCCGAACAATAACAATTATTATTATTTGCTAAATGCTTCGCCTTGCATAATGCATGACCTAAAAATCCTACAATTGAAACCATACAATTGATAGTGTTTTTTTTGTTTCATTGGTTGCAGCAGGCAGATGGAAACCAGAAGCCGTCGACTTTCATTCATGGGCGCAGATGGCAGGTTGCCCTAAGAAGGGTACCTTCTAAGGTTATGTGCAGTTTGGTCGCGTTTTGAGTGTGCGCAGACGGTTAGAATGTGACTTTTTCGCTGGGCGTTTGATCAAGTTCTTCTGTCATGATTGCTGCCAATGTGCTGTGCCTGAAGAAAAAGAAGAAACGCACTTATTCCCTATCCAGCTGCAAGGGCGATGGAGCCGGAACATCGAAAAATGATAGGTAAGTGTTTGACTTACAAATTCTCTGTGACTGTGGGAAAAACATTATCTAACAGTGGTGTTAAGTCGGACGTTATAAAATACATGCCAATTTAATTACTCGGCTATTTGCCGAAATAACGCACTTGGTTGGCTTGGAGGCCGTCGAATCGGCCAGACATGGGCCCGGTTGATTTACGCTACCATTACCTAACAGCGTTTCAGAGTGAAAGTGTTGGGCAACTTATAAACTGGCCCTATTACCCGTCAATATTACCAATGAAATAATATATTTTTCGATAGGTTTTTTTCCGTTTTTTTAAATTTAATTGGCAGATTTCGCTGTATAGTTCATGTGTACAGCCTTAACTAATATGATTGGAAAAATGAGAAAAGTTACTTTGAAGTTTCGATTTTATTCGACTTTTTAGGCTGAAGCTTTTTAAATTTGGCGTCAAATTTTAGAACTAGGAGACGGTTCAGTTCGAAAGTTACCATGTTTCAAGCTGTAAAAAATCAGTTTGAAGTGCGATTTTATTACATTTTTTGACTGTTCAGACTAACGCTTTTTCTGATTGCTATGAAAATTTCTCATTGAAAGATCGTTGAGTTCCGAAGTTACGATTTTTTAAAAGAACACCTGCAGATGGATTTGTCTACGTGTAAAGCCAATTTTTCACGCTCTGTGCAATAAGGTTGAACCGGAATTTCACGATATTTTTCAGAATTTTTAGACTGACGCGTTTTCTACTCACTGTAAAACATTCGCGTTGAAATGTGCTTCAAGTCGAAATTGATAATTTTTTAAAGAAAATTCTGCAAATCGTCCTGGAGAGTGTCCACTAACAAAGCCATATTTCTCCCGTTCTCTGCAATAAGGTTGAACCGGAATTTCACGATATTTTTCAGAATTTTCAGATTGACGCGTTTTCCACTCACTGTAAAAGTTTCGTGTTGAAATGTGCTTCAAGTCGGAATTTACGATTTTTGAAAGAAAATTCTGCAAATCGTCCTGGAGAGTGACCACTAACAAAACCATATTTCTTCCGCGCTGTGCAATAAGGTTGAACCGGGATTTTACGGTATTTTCCAGAATTTTCAGATTGACGCGTTTTCCACTCACTGTAAAACATTCGCGTTGAAATGTGCTTTAAGTCGAAATTTATAATTTTTTAAAGAAAATTCTGCAAATTGTCCTGGAGAGTGTCGGCTAACAAAGCTATATTTCTCCCGCTCTGTGCAATAAGGTTGAACCGGGATTTTATGATATTTTTCAGAATTTTCAGACTGACGCGTTTTCCACTTACTGTAAAAGTTTGGCGTTGAAATGTGCTTCTGTTCGAAATTTACGATTTTTTAAAGCAAATTCTGCAGATTGTTATGGATAGTGTCCACTAACAAAGCCATATTTCTGCCGCTCTGTGCAATAAGGTTGAACCGGGATTTCACGATATTTTTCAGAATATTCAGACTGACGCGTTTTCCACTTACTGTAAAAGTTTCGCGTTGAAATGTGCTTCAAGTCGAAATTTATAATTGTTTAAAGAAAATTCTGCAAATCGTCCTGGAGAGTGTCCACTAACAAAGCCATATTTCTCCCGCTCTGTGCAATAAGGTTGAACCGGGATTTCACGATATTTTTCAGAATTTTCAGATTGACGCGTTTTCCATTCACTGTAAAAGTTTCGCGTTGAAATGTGCTTCTGGTCGAAATTTACGATTTTTTAAAGCAAATTCTGCAGATTGTTATGGATAGTGTCCACTAACAAAGCGATATTTCTGCCGCTCTGTGCAATAAGGTTGAATCGGGATTTTACGATATTTTTCAGAATTTTCAGACTGACGCGTTTTCCACTCACTGTAAAAGTTTCGCGTTGAAATGTGCTTCAAGTCGAAATTTATAATTTTTTAAAGAAAATAGTGCAAATTGTCCTGGAGAGTGTCCACTAACAAAGCCATATTTCTCCCGCTCTGTGCAATAAGGTTGAACCGGGATTTTAGAATATTTTTCAGAATTTTCAGACTGACGCGTTTTCTACTCACTGTAAAAGTTTCGCGTTGAAATGTGCTTCGGGTCGAAATTTACGATTTTTTAAAGCAAATTCTGTTGATTGTCATGGATAGTGTCCACTAACAAAGCCATATTTCTGCCGCTCTGGGCAATAAGGTTGAACCGGGATTTTACAATACTTTTCAGAATTTTCAGACTGACGGATTTTCCACTCACTGTAAAAGTTTCGCGTTGAAAAGTGCTTCTGGTTGAAATTTACGATTCTTTAAAGGACATTCTGTAAATTGTCCTCGAGAATGTCTCCTTGTAAAGCCATCTTTTTTACGCGCTGTCCAATAATTGGGTGTGGGATTTTATGAAATGTTTCAGAATTTTCTGCCTTATGTTTTTTCTAGTTACTATAAAAATTTTGCTGTGGCGAGTGCTTTGGGTAGAAATTTACGATTTTTTAAAGACAATTCTGCAAATCCTCCTGCAGAGTGCCCACATGTAAAGCCATATTTTTCACGCGCTGCTCAATAATTTGGGGTGCGGTTTACGATATTTTCCAGAACGGTTTGCTATGAAAACTTCTCATTGAGATGGATGAGTTCGGAAGTTACGATTTTTTAAAAGAACGCCTGCAGATGGATGTGTCTACTTGTAAAGCCAATTTTTCACGGTCTGCGCAATAATCTTCAAGCGAGATTTTATGCATTTGTTCAGAATTTTCAGACTGATGCTTTGTCTATGCATTGTGAAAATTCTAAATTGCGTTGTGGTTTAATTCCGAATTTACGATTTTCTAACGCCACAGATGGATGGAAATGTGCATTTGGAAAGTAATTTTTGTCACGTTGGGAAAAATTAATTTGTAGTGGGTTTTTAGTGTATCTCTCAAACTGTTTGGATCCAGGCTTTCTATATTTGCTGTTAAAACTTTTTTGTGGGAGACTGTTTAGATCGGGAATTACAACCGTTTTTAAGAACGTCTGCAGATGTACGGAAATGTCTAGTTGAAAAGCTTTTTTTCACGGTGCGAAAAATCAGTTGGACGTAGGATTGCATTGCATTTTTAATTTTTTTTTTAAACTGATGATCTTTCTGTTTACTTTGAGAACTTTTGATTTGAGAAATATTTAATTTCGGAAGTTACAATTTTGTAAGAACGTCTTCAATGAAAGCCATCCTTTTCACGCTGAAAAACTCAATTTGAAGTGGAATTTTATTGTAATTTTCGTAATTTTTGGTCCGTTACTTTTTCGATGCTCTGTGCATGTTTATCAGTGCCAACTAGCTCAGGTCAGAAGTGATGATTTTTTCAAGAAAGCCTGTTGAAGGATGAAAGTGTCCACTTGGCAAACCATCTTTTTCACGCTCTAAGAAGATAACTTTGAACCGGGATTTTGGTACAATATAAGATCAACTTTTCAGATCAATGCTTTTTCTATTAGCCGCGAAAAATTTCGAAAGGGGAAATTGCTTAGTTCGGAAAATGCAATCGTTTATAAGAGCGGCTGCGATAGATTGAATCGTTCAGTTGTCAAGCCAATTTTTCACGCTGCCGATAATTAGTTTGAAGTGCGATATTATTAAGTTCAACACATTTTCCAGATCAATGTTTTTTCTGTTTGTGGTGAAAATTTGCAACTGAGAGATGGTTCAGTTGCGAAGTTACGATTTTTTAAAGAACCGCTACCAAGGATGGGAATGTTCACATGTAAAATATGTCCACTAATCTGTAAAAAATGTGGTATCAAGCACCGGATTAACTAGGATTAGTACAATTGTTTCGAAGAAAGTCTACACATGGACTGAACTAACTGACTCAGTTTAAAACCCGATTTTGCTGCATTTCTCAGAATTTGCTGATTTGTGCTTTTTGTGCGCGTTAGTCTGGCATAGTAGGAAATAATTCAGTGCAAAAGTTATAATTTTGCCAAAAAACTCTGCAGATGATTGAGATTGTCCACTTGTAGAAGCCAGGTTTTCACACCGTAAAAAATTAGTTTGAAGTTCGATTTTACGCTCTCAGATTTATTTTGCAGCTACTTTCCCTATTTGCTATGAAAATTGCCCACTAAAAGTGTTTTCAGTGCTCAAGATATGATTTTTGAAAGGAAAACATGTGATGGATAGCCATACCTACTTTTTTCAAGTCAAGTCAACATTTTCACTATGTGAAAAATCAGTTTGGACTGGGGTTTTATAGTATTTCCCCACACTATTTATATCAATGAGTTTTCCACTTGCCGCTAAAATTTCCGGTTGCCACATTGTTCAGTTCGGAAGTTAGGATTTTTTAAACGAATGCCTGCAGATGGATCAGAATGCTCCCTTGTAAAGTCATTTCTCCACGCTGCAAAAAATAAATTATAAGTGCGATTTTATTGCTTTTTACAGGGTTTTCAGATCAGTGATTGTTCTATTTGTTTATACAATTTACCTTCATTTGGGAAAAGGTCCAGTTCGAAAGCTATGATTGTGTCAAGAAACCCCTGCAGATGGATGAGAATCTCCACTTTTGAAACATTTTCATTCCCTCTGTAAAAATCACTTTTAAATAAGATTTTATTACGGTTTACGAAGCTTGCAGATTGATACTTGTTCTATCAGCTGTTTAAATTTTATATGCGGCATCGGTTCAGTTTGGAAGTTATGATTTTTTTAGAAGAAAGCCTGCGGATGTTTGGGTGTGTTCACTTGGAAAGCCATATTTTCACGCCGCGAAAAATAAGCTTGAAAAAGGATTTTATTGTATTTCTCACATTTCTCAGATTTACGCTGTTTATATTTGTTGTGATGTAATTTAGAGATTATTCGGTTGGGAAATTGCGATTTCTTAGAAGAAAGTCTGCAAATAGACTGATGGAGTTTTGCAGGCCGTTCAAAATCGAAATTTGTCTTTAAAATTGAATTTCTCAGACTTTTCAGACTGGGGCTTTTTCTACTCGCTCTGGAAATTGTAAAGTAGGAAATGGGTTAATTGGAAAGTTACTATTTTGTAAAAGACGCTTTGGAGATGGATTGTA